CATATATCAATCACACGCAAAACCTAAAGAAGGAAAGGAACCATCACTACTCTCTCATGTTATAATCGCCCTTTAGAGAATCCATTATCCCCCTTACCTTAGTTTGGAGCTTTGATCCTTCAATAATGGTGGAATTTTCTCTTGCCCTAGTCGTTCCTTCTTCTCTCTTATATGTTTCTACGTGACAACAGTTTCTCCCGATTAATTCTACCACTCTCCCAAATAATGTTTTAATATTATCTAATAATAACCAAGTATAATAATTGGAATAATAATTATTATTATGACTATAATATAATTAATAATATTATTATTAGTTGTAAATATACCATATATCTAACAATAGTATTTTTATTAATAATAATACTATATTCTATCATTCACCAATATTATTATTATACCATAGTTTAAGCTTTATTATAATTATCTAATTATAACTAAGTTCTCTTATACCATTAGTCATGCCTACATACCTTAGTTATACCAAAATAATTCAAAATCAACAAATAATAACTATATATTTAAATAAGGCGTTACATGAGTAACCTTCTATGTTTTGAGAGAAACAACATAGAACTATAAGCTCTCTCATTAAATAAAAAGATAAAATTAGCTCAACTATTTTAAGTCTGGAAGAGGAAATAACTTTGTTAAAATCCAAGCTTGAAAACATGAAAAAATATGTTCGTATGTTGAACAATGGTTCTAATATGTTAGATGAAATCTTGGAACTTGGGGAAAAGTATAGGAATATGAAACTTATAAGGTTTGAATATAGCTCTATGAACAAGAAAATCAAAATTCCCACTAAAAAGTTTGTTTCTCCTGAGAAGAAAAATGATTTCCTAATGAAGGACCACATGTCTCATCATCTTTCTCAACAAGTGTACCCTCGGTATAAAGGCCACAAGAAATCATCTTGGAGATGTCACCACTGTGGAAGATATGGTCATATAATACCATTTTGCTATAGAATGCATGGGTATCCTCACTCCTATATTCATCCAAGGATCAACAAAAAGAAAGAGAATAAAACTCTTGGTAAGAATGTGTGAAAACCCCAGGAAATTTTGTCACTTATCTTATAGCTCATACTTCACTTAGAGTTTCCTCAAAAGAATATTAGTATTTTTCTAGTGTATATTAAAGGCATATAATTGGATAAAATAACTATTTTGAAGAGTTAAAACCCTACTTTAAATGTTATGTCACTTTTGGTGATGGATCTAGAGGAAGAATCAATGGGATAGGAAAACTAGATAGTCCAGGTTTCCCTTGTCTTGATGATGTGGTGCTGGCAGAAGGCTAAATGCTAACTTGATAAGCATCAGACAACTATGTGATCAAGGTCTAAATATGAATTTTAACAAGGTTGAATGTAATGTCTCCATCAAAGATCAATATGTGTTAAAGGGTTCAAAATCCAAAGACAACTATTATTTATGGGTATATCAAATAAAAAGTTAGCCTTCAACATGTTGGATATCCAAGGTTGATGAGACTAAACTATGACACTAGAAACTTAGTCATATCAACCTCAAGAGAATGGAGAAGATAATATATATAGATTCTATCAAGGTTGAAGAAGGAAAATTCGTTGGAGAATCCCAAATAGGCAAGCAGACCAAGATGTCCCACAAAAACTATAACATCTTACCACCTCTAAAGTCTCAATGGAAAGACATATATCATTGGATGTGTAAATTATTTTGCAATATACACTTGGATAAATTTAATTAATGAAAATTTTGACACATGTGATGTTTTCAAGATGTGGGAACAATATGTTCTACAACTGCAATCTAAAGATGAAATAAGTCTTATAGAAAGTTTCGCTTACTTTCTTAGTATAAAATTTAAGCAACTAAGTAATATTTTTGCTAAAGACTTAGATAATGTTCAGTCTTAAAAACTAAGGCGTGTAATTGGTAATTGTAGGTGGGAAATCTTATGGAAATTAACTCAAGCGAGGCATGCTGGAATAAAAGGAATGTCACTCTCTCCTATGATCATTGAAGCACATATGTGTTCCCAAACACGTATACATGTGTTTTGGTATTTAGGACTTGGCTTTGTTTTATTTTCTTTTTGTTTTTCTTTGCTGTTTTAGTTTATCTTGATGATTGGATGTACTAAGTAGGTTGTTCATGTCTAGCCTGGTGAGAGACAAAAAAACCAAAGACTTTGTTTCATCATTAAAGAGTATTCGACTATGTTTTAATTATTCATAACTCGCATATTTTTTTAATTTTCGCAAGTTCCATTATTTACACACACTGAGGCGTGTTTTTTTATTTTAACTCAATCCATTTTTATCCAACCTTTTAAAAATATTTATCCTTTGCATAACCTCATTAATCATATTTCTCTTTTGTTTTTTTCACCATATTTATAAACCTTGGCCTAAACATTTCCCTACATGTTATCCTGGGAATTTTAGTTTAACATTATCGATGTAAAGATGTTGTAGAAAAGTAGGAAAATACTAAGCACAAGATAAACAAGTTATAGTTTGGACATACTGATCATTTCGACTAATGGGGTGAGTTACACTCGCTTATCAGTTGCTTTTGGAATTAGCGTATTCTTGAGTCCAAGGGTTAGATGTCCTAGAGACCCATTAAGCCTGGTTTGGGGTTTATTGGGAACCAATCCACATGATTAGGATGGAGGAATAACAAGAATAGATCCACGAGATTAAGAGCAGTCTCTCTTTAAAACATGTCTTGAATCTCGAAAAGGTATGCAATAGCTTGGAGTAATTGAAAAGGGAAGTTAAAAGACTCGAAAAGGCTTCCAGAGATGGCTAAGATATTAAGAGAAGTTATCAATTTAGGCAGCATTTTGGAGTCAGTTTAAAGACTAAGCATACCTGAAAGAACAATAGAGAACATAGGTCCACGTAACAGTATACGTGTCGAATCCTAGGGAAATGATTGTTATCGATAGTTATGGATGTAGTTAGTATATAAGATGATTTTATTTATATAATCAAGGTTCAAAAATTTATCATTAATCCCTATAGAACTAAAATACCCAAGTCATAGAGAGAAAAGAGTTTGTGAGGAAACATATATGAATATGCGTCCCTTTTTATGACTCTTTAATTCAAGAATTCACTTTATTTTAATTTTGTTTGTGTTTAGTGTTTATATGTCTTGTCGAACAATTCTACACTGGTCTTTTTGAAAGTTCTATCCAAATTCTCTATACCCAAACATTAGTACTCACACACAAACATGTTTCTTCAAACTATTTTGCACAAGTTGTCCCTAGGATTTTTTTCGAGTTTAGTCCCTTTAGTGAACCAAAACTTGTGATTTAATTTATTAAAAACACCGGAAAACAATATAAATAACAAAAATTGATAGACAATTGGAGAATATTTCGCCATGTATGTCTGTTGGGACAAGGTTTTCCCTGCAAGAAGATGTGTATTATTCAAAAATTTACATCTGTCACATGGATTCATGTGGGAGTACCATTCAATAAGAGGTAAATATGGATGGTGTGAATTAGATGATAAAGATAACGAGGTTGAGTGCACTTGCTCGAATTTTGTCCTATATGGTTGAAAGTATAATAAGGGCAGCCTTAGAGGCCGAATCCCAACAAATTATGGATGTCAAAGCCACTATAGTTGAGGCTAATAAAGTCGGTGGAATTGGATAGGATACAATTATAAACACCATAGGCTTGATTCATTATGATTATGAGCCTTTTAGATTTCAAAAGGATCCTCTAGTTTCAAGTAAGAAGATACAAGCCCAAGTTCCACTAGAGGAAGTCGATCGAGGAAAGGAGAGAAAAAAATAGCCTACTTACATAAGTGAAAAGATTAATCCAAGCCTGGAGGTCCAAATATCAATTTGCTTAAAGAGTTTAAAGACTACTTCGCATGGGCTTACAATGAAATGTTAGGACTTAGTTAAGATTTAGTGGTGTTGAAGCTACCTATTCGAGATCAGACAAGAGGCCACTGAAGGAGAAACCAATAAGGCTTTTACTAGAAGTAATATCAAAGATTAAAGAGGAAGTTGGAAGGCTTCTAAGGAATAATTTCATACAAAATTCCAGGTATGTCAAATGGCTAGCAAATATAGTCCCTATTATTGAAGAAGGAAAAATCTTTGGAGAATGCCAAATATGCAAGTAGACTAAGATGTCCCATAAAAACTCTAGAACCTTACCACCACTAAAGTCTCAATGGAAAAAGATATGTCTTTGGATATGTAGATTATTTTTCAAGATACACTTTGATAAATTTCATCAAAGAAAATTTTGACACATGTGATGTTTTCAAGATGGGGGAATAATGTGTTCAACAACTACAATCTAAAGATAAAATGAGTCATGTAGTAAGTTTCACTTACTTTATTTGTCTAAAATCTAAGCAATTAAGAAATATTTTTGCTACATACTTAGATAATGTTCAATTTAAAAAACTAAGGTGTGTAATTGGTTATTGCATGTGTGAAATATTATGGAAATTAACTCAAGGGAGGCATACAAGAATAAAAGGAATGTTTCTCTCTGTGATCATTATAGCACATAAACTAAAGAAAAGCTTATCAAATTAAAATTTTGCTTATAGTTACTCCTCCCTCACCCGTAAAAAAAAATCTACCACTATCTCACTATAGTTCTATCACTTTTGTTCAACTTCATCTTTCTCAACTCCCTCAAACGTGTTAAAAAATGATTCAAAAGGACAATGAAGATAATACTTTGTGATCCTCGCGAATCACAAATGAATTTGGGGTCAAAATGTTAGGAGTGAAAATTGGGGATAAAGGAACATTAAAAAAACTAGGTTTTCTAGATCGAGCAGCAATGATGATGAACCTATTATGTTTTTAAACCCAAAACCTATGCAAATGGTTGTTCTTGTTTACATTTAAACAAAAAGAAGAAATATTACTAACACCAAGAAGAAGAACTTGTCTGAAAATGTTAGTAAGTTTGAGAAGGAAACATTTGTGCATAATCATGTTGAATATATGAATATTGCAAAGGAAAATGGATTACCGCCTCTTTGGGAAATACATTATAATGTTGAAACCACTTTTGAGGTAACAAATGTGGAACCACTTGTTGAATCACATGTTCATCAACATGTTAAGCCAAATGTTGAAACATATTTTCCATCATATGGTGAATCCTAGGTTGAACCCCCTACTGAAACAACTGTAAATATTCATGTATTTGCTATAAATGTGAATGACATATTTGATGAAGCTGATTATTCATCTGAAGACTTGAGGTTTGAGATCCTTTAAAAGTAAGAACCTGAGGTTAAAGGAAAAATAAATGTAGAAGCTGATGAGAATGATGATATTCCTATTTCCAACATATTGAAGATGATTGTCAAAGGTGTTACCGAAGCCTCGAGAGAATACTACAGAAAAGGAGTGGTGAGTTTTAATGAAGAAACTAAGACTGATGAAGAATCTGCAGTAAAGCTAATGAGGAGTATTGTTATGTTTATGGCTGATGGGGTGAAAGAAAATAAGAAATATGTTCCTCCCAAAACCTCCTTGAGAACATCATTAAATTATGAAGATGGAAACTCCTCAAAGAACTCACGTGAGTAAGAAAAGAAAGGTTGAAGAGAAAACTGCTGAGAAGAAGTCTCAAAAGAGAATTTTTGTTCTATGAAGTGACTCTAAGATATATAGGGAAGCATATGACCTAGACATTTGGATATCTTCTTGAAGAAATATTAGAGGAAAATGAATTTGTGTTAATATTCCAGCTTCCCCCTTTGATAATGTTTCATTCCACTCCGAAGGAAGTATGCAAAAGTGGAAGTATGTGTGTCAACAAGGAATTTCTCCTAAAAGAGAGCTGAGCAAAGATGTCCTTTAGTGGAAAGTGATCATGAATAATCTGGAGTATGCTGGATTGATAAAGATTGATTGAGATATTAGACCTTGTTATGAGAAACTGACCAGGGAGTTCATTATTAATCTATCCAACAAATTCAATATGGAAAGAAGCAAAGAGTTTCAGAGTGTGCTTGTGAGAGGCTATTGTGTAAAATTCTCTCCTAAAATTATAAATGAGTAATTAGGCAGAAGAAAATCTGCTGAATTTGAAAGGTATCCTTTATGGGCATAATAGCTAGAGAAATAACTGCTAGACAAGTCAAACAATGGCCAAAGAAAGGTGTTCTCCCTTCTGGAAGTCTAAGTGTGAAGCATGTAGTATTAAAAAAGATAGTTGCTGCAAATTGGGAACCCACTAGTTACACTTTAAGCATCACTTTTGCCTTTGCCAAGCAGATGATTCAAATTGGAACCAAGTCTAATCTAAACTTTAGAGAGTATGTGTTTGGCCAGACCATGAAGCATGTTGATTCTTGAAATTATAGCACTTGCAATACAAAGGTCAAGTCTGATGTCTTAACACAGAAACATGATGCCAGGACATATATTATGACATTTGTTGAAAGAAAACCTGCTAAAACTATTGATTATGCAGAAATATAAATTGCAAAAATTTAAAGAACACGATCAATTGTTAACCCAGCTCGGTATAACGTCACCTACTCTGGGAGCTACCAAATTAGGAAGTAAATCCACTAAATAGTATTAGTTAAAAGCCTAAATAATCCCAGTTTACAACTTTTCTCCTAATCACTACCCCGTGCAACTTCTACCTAGGAACCTCCTAGATATGAGAACCTCTCATTTCCAATCATAATAAGTGAAATTGTAGATATTTTTGTATATACTTTTTGTTGCACTCATCTACTTTTTATTGTAAATATTGTTGAATAAACCTGACTTTTGTGTAAATACGTTTAGTTTATGTTTATTTGTGTTTTGGGTACATAGTGTACCGTTTGATGTTTTTCCATTCATTTTGTAGGTATTTGATGCATTTTGGAGCATCGAGGAATAAGGTGTCTAAGGCACGGATCCCGATGCACGCTTCTGGAATAAAAGACTAGTATTATGAAGTTTTGTCAATGAGAGCCCGCTTAGCACGCAGAAGACCGCTAAGCGCAAGTGTGCTCAACACATTTTGTAGCATGTTGCTTCCGTTTTGACATTTTGGCAGAGGCGTTGTTTTGAAGCCCGCTTAGCACGGATAGCGCGCTTAGCATGGTTTAGGTCAGGTTAATGTGTAAATAATGTGTAGCCCGCTTAACGTAGTGAGTCCGCTTAGCGCGGTCTACTGAGATGAGTTTCATAAAAACAAATTTAGTTCATTTTTAGGTTATGTTTTAGGAGAAGTGTTTGCTCCCAACTCCATTAACCTCCAATTTTGTTAGGATTTTCTTAGATAACAACTATGAACCTTGCATACAGTTGATCTGGGGTTGATTTCTCTTTGATCATCGGTGACAAACTAGTATATTTGTGGTTCATTTATCTTTTTCTTTGTGTATTATCTATTAGTTGGATTTGTATATGTATTTACTTTGAATTCATGTATATTTGTCTCCCTTGGCGTTATATAAAACTTGCTTTACAAATCTTTATCGATTGGTATCTTTGGTTTTTGCTCTGTGCTAGGGATTTGAGTAGCTATAGACATATACTGCTTGAATTCTTATCTAGGATGATTATCTAATAGTGTCTGAATTATATAGATAGATTTAACACTGCTATTCACTTAGGGTGTCTGTGATTAATGCCTCAGTGTTATTTGTGTCGCCTTGAGAGATCATCGATGCAAGCGAGCATGGTTGACTTGTGTGTTGTTGAGGTGGTTGAGAGATCACTACCGAGGGGATGTAGTCAGCCTTTCAATTTGGGTTAGAAATGACTTAGTTTTTGTTTGAAACGTGATGACATAGATGAATATTGTAGGTTTAGTATAATAAGTCGATAGGTTTAAGTCTGTGAGAAGTAGTATATATGCATGCTTGATAAGTTATTCCTTTTTTTCCTTTTTAAACATTTATTTTTTGTTGATACTTTTACTTTCAACCAATTTATCCCCAAACTCATTAACAAGAGATTTGTCGAACGACATTTCTATTCACCAATCTCTGTGGACACGATACAATATAACCTAAACATCACCCAGTAAAATAATACTTTACTTTTTGCTTGTCGCTTTACCGCTACAGCAAATCACCCCAGTGATAAATAAACCATGTACAATCCCAGTAACTAGTATCAAAATAGGAGATTCTACTCCAATCAACAATACTTAGTTAAGACACTTACCTAAGAATAATACTTAACCATTTACTTAAAAGCTCATGGGTGAGAACAATAGCTTGATAAAAAAGCAACATCATTCAACTCAATGCATCAAAGATACATGAGTGACACACAAAGAACACAAACAAAAAGAACTTGAAAGACTCATAAAACCCTAAACCCTTATGTTGCACCCACGATTTCTTCAATGTGAATGCTTGCTGTTTTATGTCTAGAAAATCCTTATTTATAGACTCCTTTATTATGCTTGGACTCTTCAAAAGATCCAATCTCATAGTTTAAAAACACCTGCAAGATCTTCTCATTTAAATAGGAAAAAATATTTTTAAATCTTCCTAAAAAGTCTCCAAAATCCTTTTTAAGAAATCCAATTAAATATGCACTTTGTTCCTAAATAATCTCTTTGACATGCGCATAATGATGAGGAATATCCAATAAGATCTCATCAAATCAATTCCAATTTTTTAAGAGATAACCAACAACAGCGCCTGCTGTTGTAACTAGTTTTGAAATAAGAGTCGACACTCTTAATTTTTATCCTAAGGAAGGGAATATAAAGCTTAACCCTAATTAAGTCAGAGATTCTAGGTTTTTTGGACTTGTTCTTTGACGAAGGAAAGGTGTTACGCACCCCCCATCTACCTTGTTCACAATGATACTAGGGTTAGAAGCGTGATCTTTAAGAAATAGGGTTTTAGTTTTTTATTAGGGGAACTCGCCTAGATTTTAGTCGTATGCCTACATATCCTCTTATGAGGAATCAGAGTCCCAATTCATAGTTCACAGTTGGTTGGTGTTTTTTATGGATTACGAAGATATTTGAATTCCCCCTGTACTTAGTCTAGGTGTGTGAATAAAGGAATTTGTTAGACGAAGTGCGCGGTTAATAAAAATATATCCATAACCCTTTTTGAAAATTGATTGTTGAATTAATTGATTATGAAAAAGAGTTTAGTGTTGGTTAAATATTTTTTAATGTATTAATTGTAAAAATGTCTTTATTAATTCATGATAAAAATAATATTATAATGAAATAAAATAAATAAATATTGGATGAGTTTAGAAAAATAAATATTTAATTTATTATAGTAATAAATATAATATTATAATATAAAATATAGAAAAATTTAAAAATAAAATTTAAAAAAAAAAGAATTAAATTAAAAACGCAAGGGGTGTGAATTACATTGGGCTAGTAAAAATGGGGGTATGTGTAGCAGGGCTATGAATTCAGATGTTGAATTCAGACCCAACGTAGGGGGGTGTAAGTTTGAAATATTTAGTAAAAGTTGGGGGTGTGAGGGAGTAAGGGTCCAAGTCCATATATTTGACTTGGCCCATTTGGCTGATGGGGTATGTTTTCCAACGTGATAGAAAAAACAAAAAAAAAAGCAAGGGGTGTGATTAGAGACTAAGCCTGGCCAAAAGGGTTTGGGATCCGTTTGGACAACATATAAACGGGAGTAATGTAAGGTCATAGGCTCCCGTTTTTTGGAATAGTTGATTGGGATGAATTGGTTATGATTAAAGGAGTGTGGTAATATAGTGGGATGTGTTGTACCCCAAAATTTTCCATCCCATTTTACCCAAGACATGCTCATTGAAGTCCTTAATTGCTCATGGTTGACAAAGAATTGGCCAGACAAATTCTCCTCCTAAGTAATGGACTTCCAACTAGGGTTTCACTTATCACAAAGAATTTCGGGTTGAAAAGACTTCAAGTGATTTTCATGGTCCCTAATATGTCCTCAAGAATGTCCATGCCAAGTTTCATGCATGCACTACAAGATTGCTCAGTCAATTGCTCAAATGCTTGAAAATCAATTATACTAGGTCAAAAGTCAATTGTGGCCAATATACAGTCAAACTTCAAGATTTTTGGTCAACATCAACATTTTGAAGTGATATTCATCATTTGATCAAGGGTTGATCACGATTTCTTAAAGAGTGCTCTTAATTTATCAAAAGTCAAGAATTGCTAAACTAGGGTTTCTATAGGAAAAGTCAACTGAACTTTGACCACGAATAACTTTCACATGCTTCATCCATTTTTCCCCAACCAAAGCTCATTGTGAAGAAAATTCCATTCCCTACAACTTTTTTCCCTCAAGTTTAAGAAATGAATCATTTGGAAGATATAAGCTCATACATTACATGTCACTTTCAGAAAGTCAACAAAAGACACTTTTTGCCAAGACCACTTACATCAAGATAAAGTCTTCAAATGCAAAATTGATCAAAAAAAGATTGAAGAGGACATCTTGAGCTTTCTAAAAAGTCAAATATCATCTCCAAAATATAAAATTGAGCAAGTTATGATTTTCAAAAGTTAGAAACTTTTGGTCAAATTTCATGAAATGCAAAGCATGCATATTTGAAATTTTAGGGAAATGGGCTAACTTTTTGAGCTTCAA